GACAGGCATACACATGCATAGTTATGGGGAGAGAGAGGCATAGAGACAGTGCATAATGAATTAGGCGTACAAATAAATATGTATGGGGAGAGGCACAGACAGAGACTAAGATCAATGGAAAATATTTGGACTTCCTGTGTGCTGTCCCTGATTTGTGTATGTATACGCATACACAAACACACATCAAACCATCGTGCCCTTGAGGTCTCTAGGAGCAGAGGAAGAGATGACTCACATGACAGGAGAGGGGCTGCTTTTTTATCAATCTAAGTTTCTGAACAGCTCTATTAAATGCTATTTTGCTTTTGGGGGTTAGATTTAATAGCACAGGAACCCCCTCTGTTCCTATGGCTTATAAAATGAGCTGGGAGGGCAAGGCAGAGAGTAGTGAATGCAGACCTTCCCAATACTGACCTCCCCATACCTCATGCATCTTTGTGGCCAGGCAGGGACTAGAAATCAGACTGGTTAAAAAAGTGAGCAATTCAGTATCACTTAAATACATTCCTCCTGGGGATTCCCATGAGTTGGGAGTTGGTATCTCCTGCGGGGCTTGTTAATGAGGAATGGAAATAATGCTGTTCATCCTAATATGCCTACCAAGTGCGAGAGAACCTTTTTGCTAGGGTCGAGCAATTCTCCATTATCTCCTCATACTATTTCAGACAAGCTGTTAAACTGCTCAACTTCCTTGGATCAAGATTAAGACTATCCACAATTGACATGCGTCTTGTGGTTAAAGGAGGCCAAAGCTTTTCAAGGACAGACTATGCAATACGTTTTCCAGAACACTTCCATGCACACGGCAGGCAGAACACAGTAAAAGATTAACAAGAAAGCCTCTTCAGAGGAGGCTTTGCTAGCCTGGTAAGAGTTTGATTGCCTGAAACATTTCTTGGACATCTGGTGATGACTTCAAGACCCAATACAATACCCCAAGATGAATTCATAGACTAAAAATAGACCACCAAGTTCCCCTAGGAGAAAGCTTTTGTTTTGGTATCCTACAGATATACTAACCATTGTCCCACCCTAATTATCCACAAAATACTACATTAACACTGCCCCAGGACAATCAAGGTTAATTCCAGTTAAGTGCCATTGTAAATGATTGTTGTAGTCAGGTTCGATGTAAATCAAGACCCTGGAGAGTCAGCCCTGGATTAAACTAGTGGTCTCTTTTTAGCCATAGATACCCAAGAAAATCCCCAGATTAGTGTCCCAAGAACACCAAATGCTCCAGACACAAAAAAGGGCTTCAGGCATGGAAAACATGATGTGTAAGGAAAGCTGGAAAAACTGGGATCATTTAGTCTGGAGCTGAGATGACCTAGGTGGGATGTGATCACTGACTGCAAGTATAACAAGTCTCCCTGACACTGCGTCTATGTGGGGAAATCTCCTGCTCATCTGCTGACAGACTGCTTATGGTCAAGTGAATGACTGTAAATAGCTCATATTTAGTCTCTTTCTCTTTTGTGCACTTAATTACTTGGAGGAAAATAATTCTCAAAGGAAGGGACAGCGCACAACAATCAGAGGACTTCTGAAATGGCCACGGGCTGGATTAGAATTACAATTAGCTGCCTCAGTCCACTTAGATACCCCATGGGGGTGAAATAAAACCTAGCCCCGTGCTCAGACATTGCTTCAAGAGATGAATAGTCTTTGGCAACATTTTGATATTTTAAAAGTGTGGACAATAGAAATGGATGCAGTATTCCAGTAAGGACTACATCACTGCCAAATGTACAGTGATATAACTAGAGTTACTTGAAAATTATGCAATGTAATGTTATTTTACTGGACAATGCTGATCTAACAATATAGTTTTGTTTCAACCAGCTCACGCTGCAACTTCAAACCTCCTATTAACTCTTCCTTTAATACATATCCAAAAGACACATTGGCCTTTTCATCCCCAGAGCTGCTGTAGGAGAATTATGGTATTTACTAAAATTCCCAAATATTTTCAGAGCTTTCCAAGATGGAGTCTTTCCCCTTTTCCTAAATTATAGATCTGATTTGCATTCCTGGTTCCTAGTTGTTAGACCATATACTTTTCCATAAAGCGTTACAGATTTATTAAAAAAAAGTAAGTGTGGAAGGGAGTAGGGAGGGGCGCTTATTGTCCACTCCCCTTCTCGAGGCAGAATCATCCTTTCCTAAAGAAATCCAGACAAGTGTACTTTGTTTGGTTTTTTCCCTAAAGGATCCCTGCTTATAAGCCACTGAAAGGAAGGCCTTATAATAGGAACTGTCTGGCATCCTATAGTAATAGTTGGCGTGCTACCAGGCCTCCCTTTAATTCAAACTGTACCCTTTCTACCTCTACATCTGAATGGGTCATTTCTAAAATGACCATTATTTCTACTGTAATTTGTAAAACAAATTCTTGTAACATGTAAGCCTAATTCTTGTAACAAGTATGGAGTGAAGGCTCAGAACAGTTCTCATCCCCATTTATTATCTCTTTCTTATTAACCATTCAATAAGAAGGTGAGTGCTGCTTTTCTATCATAAAGTCTATAGGACCAGTCCTGCAGCTGTCAAAACACACTCTGGGCTGGAACCTCATGTCCTGTGGCTCAAAGCATTTAAAGGAGCATTGTTTTACAAGTTCACCGGAAATGGGAAAAATGGGTAGAATCAGTAACTGGTCAAAAACTACAGGTCAGCTTGGCAATTTATAAATGTCTTCTAATTTCAATTTATAAGCCCTGCAAACAGAGGGGCTTGCTGTGCCATTTAACTCTAATCCTCCAAAAGTGCTAACTGCATTTAATAGAGCAGGGCAATAACTTAGATTTTCCAAAAAGAAAGATAAAAAAAAATTGCCTGAAAAATATCAATAGGCATTGTCTCTCTTGTTATGAGACTCATCTCTTCCTCTTCTCCTAGATACCATAGTGGGATGAAGAATATGGTTTAATCTTTCTTTGTGTAGTAAACAGTATTGCCTGAGATGCATTGCTACCAAGGAAGTGACCTACAGATGATGAAAGAATATGGTCCATCCAGTTTGCCTTCTTCAGCTTTTGGGCTGGGTGGGGGAGAGGCAGGGAGAACTTATACCCAACGTTCCCTGAAAAATCCAAGCCAGCAAGTGTACCTGCTCCTAAATCCTGAACCCTAAGAACTACTGAAGGCACATATCTCCATTTGAAATCTCTGGGAATTTGGGGTCATTTGGAGCTATCTATTATAGCAGGATAACTCCAGAATCAATCCATACATTGTGAAGAGCAAAGGTAAAATACTTGCTACAACCCATGACACTTTCCACTGGTAAATCTTAGAGCTCTGTAGGGGACCCGAGTGCTTCTAGACCTCTCTGACTGACAGAGGTACTGGGGCACAGAGAGATGAAATGACTTCACTGAGGCCACTCCACCAAGACTGTGGCAGGGACAGAAACAGAAGCCAGGCCACTTAACCATTTGTCTTATACCCTGTTCACTCACCCACACCGCTAGAAATGTGTCCTGTCCTTTATTCACTTGCATTATCTGGGTAGAGGTGAATTAAAAAAAAACCCAAACTTTCGAAAGTAGGAGAAAAAGTGCCCTCCTTGGGGGTTTTAAGATGAACAGTTTCAATAGTGGGTTTTGGGGTTTTCAAAAAAGAAGGTAGGCTCCCCCCGGGGGGGGGGGGGGGTGGCATGTACACAGAGCTGCTTGCATGAATTAAGTTTTGTCAAAACATAAAGATCACTAGACAAATAAAAAAAAGACAATTCTTGGGATTCGATGGAGAAGTTGCATTGGTGTCTCTTGAGAGACCTGCTAATGAGCAATGAAATAATGCCAACAATGCTAAATGGTATATATGCCTAGCCAATGTAGGAGAAACTTCTTCTTAATGCAGAGCAATCCTACATTATCTTCAAGGGCGCCTGCAAAATATTAAGAAAATTACTGGTTTTTATAATTTTCCAGTTCTTTCATTCATCATTTTAGATCATTTCACCCCTAATGTAAGACCCTGAGCTACAAGGAGCTGCAGAACTGAAGAGTCAGAAGATCTTATGTAGTATCCACTCTCACTGCACTAAGGTGACAGAAAGCAGTTAGCCACTAACAAGAAAGTGTCTTTAAAGACAATGCTAATTTTCTGGGGACACCCCATTTCCTTGAAAGCATTTCTCAAGCATTAAGCAACAGGTTCAGGACCAGATGCAATGCCTCAAAATGAATTTATTCAGACCCAGAAGATCTCAAGAGCTCCGTCAAAGAACCTTTTGCTTGTCCATGCAAGAAGTGGTGAGTTTTTTGACATTATGCCTTTTGTTTTAGATACATTTTATAATGTGTGAGGAAGAACATATATTGCTCTACACGCTGACAACGGAAGAGGGAGGAAATAACCATCTTAAAGTGAAAAGAGACTGGAAAGGACAAAATTGGAACCTCCAATGTAGAGAGTGGCTCACTGAAAAAGATTTATTGACCTTTCAAATATTTTGAAATATCTTATTAAAAAATCCCACATGGGGATTATAATCAACATAACACCAGAAATAATAATTTTCACAGCCTCCACATCTATGGCATCCTATTTCCATGAGTTCTTTGTGCTAATTCTCAATATCAGTAGTTATTAAAGTAGCCATGGGCTGAAACCCATTGTACAAACACAAACTGAAAAGATATAATACTGCCTGCAATTGAAGAGGCAATTATTGGTGAAAAAATATTTTATTGGACTGGCTGCATGACTGGGATAGACATCATCATATGTTGCGGGTACATCCTTACAGCCCTGAGCCTTCTGTCAGGAAGAAAACACATTTTATAATTTTTCTTAAAGAAAATCAGAGATAATGATATTCCTGACATCTGCAGGATCCTTAAATATCTCAGCCCCAAAAAGTTACAGTTCTTTGATTCCCCAGTCACATACTAGTTTGCAGGCCTCTGCCCCAGGATCTCACTACACCTATAAAGAGAAAAAAAAGCATGACCTAGCTCAAGGATCTCCGAATCTTAACAGATTTGCTAGTTTTCATTCTTGAGAGTCCATGAAGACTCAAAAGACAGGCAATCAGATAGACTGCTGTACATAGATAGATGGATAGTTGTCCAAGAGGCTTTTTTCTATAATCACAGTATAGGGGCTGTTTTTATACTGCTGGTAATGATTTTTGCTTGTTTGATATATTCAAAGGCTGAAAGTAGCTTACTATAAACAAGCAATCCCCCAAGGAGTTTCCCCAAACTCCCCTAGAACTCCAGTGTTGAAATTGTGATACTAGAAAGGTAAAACATGATGGTCTTGTGTTCCTTTTTGCCACCTACACCAAATAGAAACTCTGCCCAATGAAGATGTACATTTTCTAGAGTTTGATTCTTGGAGTCCACATACATGGAAGGAGCGGGGGGTCATACTGGGAATAGAGAGTCCATTTTGACATGAACAATTTGACTGAATAGCAGCTATCCAGGGACAGAAGACAGGTGTGGGAATGTGTTTTCATGATTTCTCCTCATGAATGCTTCTTTGTCCTTTCTCTGTTAATCACTGCTTTATTTGTGTCTGCATAAAGATGAGCCACATATGGAGAACCGGACTGCAGTGATGGAGTTCATCCTCGTGGGTTTTCCCAGCAACCGTCAGCTACAGCCTCTGCTTTTTGTAGTGCTGCTTCTCACCTATGTCCTAACTGTAGCAGGGAATATTCTTATCATCATCGTCACTCTCGTGGACCATCGTCTCCAAACCCCCATGTACTTCTTTCTTAGAAACTTTTCTCTCCTCGAAATCGGCTTTACTTCTGCTGTCGTCCCCAAAGCCTTAGATATCCTTGCATCAAACCAAACAATTTCTTTACCAGCGTGTTTCACTCAGTGGTTTCTTTATTTCATGCTGGGCACTACAGAGTCCTTCCTGTTAGCAGCAATGTCCTTTGATAGATATGTGGCCATACGTAACCCTCTGCGCTATACCACCATCATGAACTCTCAAGTCAGGACCCTTCTGGTGCTGGGTTCCTGGATTGCAGGGTTCCTCCTCATTATTGGCCCTGCAATACTGCTCTTCCACAAGCCTTTCTGTGGCCCAAATGTCATTGACCATTTCTTTTGTGACAACTCTCCACTTCTTAAGCTTGCCTGTGGAGATACCAAGCTCTTGGAGTCTCTGAGTTTTGTTGTAGCTGTGTTTTCTTTGTTGGGCTGTTTCACTGTCACTGTTGTGTCTTATATTAGCATTGTCATCACAGTGATACAAATGCCTTCTGCTGCCAGAAGGCAGAAAGCTTTCTCCACTTGTGCCTCTCATCTGGTTGTGGTGTCCATCACCTATGGCAGCTGCATCTTCATGTATGTCAGGGCAACGAAGGACAGCGAGGTGGATGTCAGTAAGGGAGTGTCTGTTCTCAACACCATGGTGTCTCCTCTGCTCAACCCCTTCATTTATACCCTGAGGAACAAGCAGGTTCAGGCGGCTTTGAGGGACATTTTTAGCAAGGGTGGCATGTTTTCTAAAGAACGAAAAAAATAAATAACGCTCTCTCCCTTGGCCCTCTTCTCTTCATGTTTGAAAGTCCCACTAATCATGGGTTCTGGTCATCTACACTTTGCGGTATCTATGGGCACCATCCACAAGGGAAGCATCCATATGCCCAGCTCTCACCCTAAACAATGACATGTGCATTTTGCTTTCATTTCACTGTATTTCAGCCCAGGGCTCCCCTCTCTGTGCTCCTCTATTGACAACCTTCACCCTTGACCATTGGCAACTTCATAGTCTAGCTCTAGACTCCCACCCATTTCCTTGAGTATTTTTTTTTTTTTTTTTTTACTATGGGGCTGTAGTTGGGGTGGGGCGAGGTTAGTCTATTATTTTATATTATTAGTTTTTCCTTTAATCTCCCTTGGCTGAAGTGCACAGCTAATTCACCTAATAGGTACCAAGCTGTTAGGTACATAAAGCTGCTTCCATCCAGATATTACAGACATTCCCATCTACCATATATTTCCTGAGCTGGGTTGACATCTAGTCAGCCAGAAGTTATAAAACCCAGCTCCCCTGAAGCATGGGATATCCCTGATGATATTATAAGAAATGCAGTGCTACCTATATTGGTCACATGCCGTCTTATAAGAAGTCTGTGCCATTATTATTTAAAGCTAAACAATTTCCAGGTGAGGTTGACTAGTTCTCAAACTAGGGTTTCTTTAGAAACAGATTATTTTGTAATCTATCTTTTTGATGAATTATGCAGTGTTCTCATTTCTGTTTTTGATTTCCATCTTAAGTCAACGAGAGCGTTATTTCTGTTACATTTTGGCAATATTTGTCCTGCAACAAAGAGGGGTTCTGTGTAGTCTTTCCTAAATTCAAAGGTGCAACACATTTTGCTGAAAGGCAATAAATTGTAGCATGAGCTTGCCATTCCTTCTACTTCAATTATGCTTAGATGGAATTTAATGGAACCGTATTATTCATGAAGTGTTACGAACATTAGACAGCTCTTCATAAAAACATACAAGAAGACAGGATCAACAACTTCTAAATTTCATTTTGAACTAAAATCTAGTGCCATGTCCATGATTTGATTATAAATCTTCTAATCTATTATACCTGCTCAATTGTTTGCATGCCCTTTGACATGAAGATTATCCCTTAGAGTCTTACATTTTAGCATGGGAAGATTTTACAATTTGTATTCCAACATAATATAGTGCTCAATTCACTACTGATAGTCTCTGGCCTGTGTCATGAATAAGGGTCAGACTAATCAGGTCCTATCTGGACATAACAGCAAGGATGAGGTCCTCATTCAGTGGAAAGATTGTCCATTCTAATTAATTCAGTGTTAACTAGTCAGCCTCTTATCAACTGAGAATCTGGCATGAAACTCTCTTGGAGATAATGCAGAGCGTAGCAATGGGGCAAAAAAAAATGTGGAATGAGACCCAAAATAGTACACAGAAAATTCCATATTGCATCAGATCAGGTGTCCATCTGGCCTGAGATCATCTCTCAGACAGTCGCTAAAGTAAGAGCCTTCAACTAAATGAGAGTAGTTGTAGGATAGTCTCTCACAGCAGTTCTCCCCTTACTCTTTCCAATTACCAATTATCTTGCACCTTTGAACAAGAGGGTTTAGAGATGTTCTCCTCCATATCCAAGCCAGTATCTCTATGGACACTCTCATTACTTATTTGGACCTCTGATTGCTTCCATGAATAAGCCCTGTCAAGATATCTTTCCAGTGACTTATTATGACACGTAGACACTAAAAAAATGCATGCAGGCTTAGTTAGTTAATAGAGTTAAGGACCTGTCTCCAAAAGGGAATTTCTACCTACAGAAATGTCAGACTTGACTAGAAAAATAATCTTGATTGAAAATGGGAGAACACCCTGTTCCCACCCCACCTACTTTTTGCTATATGGTAAAATTCTAAAAATATTCAATTTGGTAGAACTGACTCCCTCTACACACTCCATATTTCCTTCTTGACTGTCAAATAAATATTCGCACTGATAATCCAATTTAAATTGATGAGATTGCAGGATGCTCTGGGCCTCCCTCCCTCTTTTCACCAGGCAGTCTGAGCTACAGAGCTGTGTAGTAGGGCTGTGCGAGGCTTCGGACCGTGCTTCAGATCCGGAGAAGCTTCAGATGCTTCAACATCCAAAGCAGCACGTCCGGATTCAAGCGCTGTCTTTGTTAGGCTTTCTGAAGCAGTTCAGAGTTTCCGAACCACTTTGGAAGAGCTTCGGAGCTGCCTCGGAGATTCGGCTGGAGGGTATAATGAGGAATCAATGAAATATCTATAACTTGGTTGTTTTTTGTCTGACATGGATAAAGCTCACAGGGATGGCAGCTTCTACTAAGGGCATGAAGCCTACCAAGTTTAAAGAAGATCAGCGCAGAAGTTTTGGGGGAACTGCACCGAAGATTCGTGAAGCAAAACTCATCGGGCACCTGCCTAGAGGAATTCTTTCTATTTCAATATCACCCTGGATGCGCAAAGCTCCGGACCAGGTTTCTGCTTCGATCTGGCCGAAGCAACTCCATGAGTTTTGCTTTCAGGAATTTGGGGTGCGTTGCTCCTGAACCACTGCACCAATCTTCTTGAGACAGAGGCTACCATCCCTGCACGTTTTATCCAAATCAGACAAAAAACAACCAAGTTATAGATATTTCATTGATTCCCCATTATACCCTAAGGCCAGATCTCTGAGACAGCTCCAAAGCTTTGAAGTTGCTTCGGCCAGATTGAAGCAGAAACCTGATCCGGAGCTCCGGATCGGATCAGTGGCATCCGAAGTGGCCGGATCCAAAGCTGGATTAAATCGCTGCCTACTCACACAGGTCTACTGCCTACGTGCACAGACCTACTGTGTAGCTGTAGATCTCTTCTCAAATTCACTTTGCTCATCCAGGGTGATACTGAAATAGAAAGAATTCCTCTAGGCAGGTGCCAGATGCAATTATTTTACTTTTCCTATGAGATAGTATTGGGAAATGTTGATTATGTAGTTCACCTGGAAGATTCTTGTGATAAAAGCTTCCAGTTGGTTAAAATCCTGCTTCCTCTCTAGAAAGGATTTCCGTTTGGATAAATACAAAGAAATCACACTGCAGAATCTATTGAGATGTTGGTTCCAATCTTTAGTTTTAGTAAAGTAAAAACTTGAACAATTTAAAAACTATAGTTTAGCCTATTTACGCTTTCCCCCCATTAATTAAAGTCACTATCGTAAGCAGCCCTGAGAAAGGAAAATCAGACTAGGGTGGCAGAGTTCATTCTGGTGGGGTTCCCCAGTACACAGGGAATATGTGTCCTCTTCTTTGTCCTCCTTCTCATCTACTTGGTTACAGTGACTGGAAACTTGTTTCTTATGGTCCTGATGCAGAGACTCTGCTCCCACATGTACTGCCTTCTGGGGAATGTGTCCTTCCTGGAAATTATGGCAACCACAGCCATTCTACCAAAGATGCTCTCAAGCATCCTTTTAGGAAGCGGTAACATCTCCTTTGCTTGCTGTATGACCCAGAACTAATTGTACTTATTACTGGTATGGCTGGGGAGTGGAGCTTGAGCTGAGCTGTGGTCAGGATGTACTTCTCCCACTAAGACTCGGCTAACTCTGCTTCCACCAGGAGCAAAGCCAGTCAAAGCAGTAGTGTGAGAACCCACAGCTTCCAGGAGCTGGGGCTGGAGCACTCATTGTGCCCATAGGGAGCCTGCTGTTCCCCTAAATCTTTGTCCTGCTCCTTCTCACAAGCCTGTAGTGGCAAGTCACAGCAGTTTAAGGGAGGAGCCATAAGAATAGGATTTTTTGCTTGGATGTGTGACTATGTCAACCATTGCTAAGCCGAGTAACATCTGTTTGGCTTAAAGCATAGGGCCTTGCAAGGCCCTTATAATCCTACCTAGAAGTTTGCCCAAGTTTCCATTTCTTCTAAGCTTCCTTTCTGTGTTTAGCTCATTGAAGAGGTCCCTGCTAAGCCAAACTGGTCTTCTGCCATACTTGCTAGTCTTTCTGCATGTTGGGATGGTAGACAAAAAGATTTTGCAACCAACAAATGATGAATGAATAATCATTCTAGATCATTTGTTAAGCTGAATGCAATCAATACAAACAATATCTTTTAGGGAAAAAAAAAAAAACTTTTCTGGAATTGTTAAGTCAAGGATGATTCTGCTCTGACAAGGGGTCTGGACAATATGCTAACCTCCCTAGTCCCTTCCACGCTTACATTTTTAGGAATCTGTAAATCTTTATGGCAGTGTATAAGGTCTAACAAGCAGGAACCAAGAACACAGATGAGATCTATAATTTAGGGAAAGGGGAAAGACTCCATTTTGGAAATCAGTATCTCTAAAAATATTTGGGAGTTTAAGTAAATACCATAATTGTACCAGGACAGCAATGGGACTCAAAAGGTCAATGTGTCTTTTAGATATGTATTAAAGGAAGAGCTTTTGAATTCAAGACATTCTTCACTAAGTCTGAGCAGTAAAAGCCAGCACAAGCATTGCCCTTTGTGTTTCTATATAGGATCGTGCTTTCAGTATCAAGGAATGCAGTCCAAATATACATGTTTCAGGGGCATTAATCATTATATAACCATTATGAATCATTATGTAATTCATATGAGTAAAGCACCCAGAAATCAAACATGAGGAGGAAAGTGTCAAAAAGAGAATAGATTCATAGATGTTGGGGTCGGAAGGAACCTCAATAGATCATCGAGAATGGAGATCCTTGTAATATTGCTAAAGAAGAAATAAAGGTACTCATGTAGTATCAAGGCACGATGATTGCAAATGTATATTTGAAGCTGATCAAATATCACTGCTTCCTGCTGTAAGACAGCACATTTCAGGGAGTAATGGAAAAAAAAGACAAATTAAAAAAAAAAAAAAGGAAATGGTCTCTGCTGCTATTGTTTCCTGTCTGTCTGTCTAGCAAACCTTGACCTTCAGTTGCCTAAATCTCTACCCTCATGAATATGTTTCATTAAGTATTAAACTATTA